TGTGATTATTTGTAAATAATGACAAGAATCTATTTTTTTTTGGGGCGGCATATCTTCTCCTTGGATATCAGTTAATGCAGAAATGTAATTTTCTTGACAGCATTAGTAATTTCTTTGACAAATATATTGCTAGTAATGTTTTTGTTACAAAAACATATCGATGGTAATATATTTTATATGGTATTTTTACTATAACGACCTTTCTATTTTCATAGTGTTTTCACCCCAGAATTGGGGATTTCCTATTTGCCCACAGCTAGGACCATAATATATTCTACCACCTCAGGTTTGGTTGGACCTAGTAACAACAGCAATTTAGAGGTGGTTCAAAAACCAAAATTTCAAAATCCTCCAATCAGAGGCCTTAATGCCGGATCTTATTTATCTTTATACGCAGGACGGGAAGACATTTTGACAGACCAAAGAATATTTCTTTGGACAAGAACTGTTGACAGATCATATAATATACCCAAATGAAAGTAAATATTTGCTCTTTGTTACCTCAACTTCATGAATTTAAACAAGATTGACAAGAAGGTCTTATAGTTTTCGCAAATATTCCTTCACTCACGCTTCTTGTCTATGAAGTTCCTAAAGCTACATACTTTGCTGTCAGCTACAAGAATCTAATACCGTGCAACGCCAATTATCACTTCTGTCCCCCTAAATCTTGATCTTTTTATTGTCTTTTCACCATAGTATAGTTTTTCAGTTTTCTTCAATCTTTATATCTCATCAGTAGTACATCCTTATGATTTAGTTGCTTTACGCCTTTCTTGAGGTGGAATTTTAAAATTGAAATTTCATTAACATGGCAAATTCGCTAAAGAACAAACGAAGCTTCGTAATATTTAGGTGATGATCTTTATTGGAGGAACTGAAACTTCCTGAATATGCAAAGAAAAATATCTTGAAACCATCCAGATGATAATATTGCTTGAAACTCCAAAACGTCTAACGGTCTTCCAATGTGATGGTGGCTGTAAGAATCCTCTGCCTCTTTTGCATTTAATATGCCCGGTCGTTGTCAAATAACACAAACGCATTCTACTTATTATGTGTCCAAGAAATTTCAACTGTTTTTTTTTTTTATAATTCTAAGTATAAGGTTCCTAATTTTTCCATTTTCTTAAAACTTCCTCTCGTTATTGTCGTGTTCAACCATGGAGGTTTTTGGTACACGCAGCAGAAAGTATGCCATGTGACGAAAAGAAAACTAAAAAAGCAAAACAAATAGAGCTAAAAACAAAACCATAAATCCTCTACAAGAATTGCAAAAATAAACAAAAAAAAAAAGAAAAAAAAAAGAAAATGTCAAAAGACAGGCCCTAAACATTACCTAAACATTAACCAACAATAACATGTACCTAGTTTATTAAGACAGAGCACATATGCTTAATTGGATCACAGCTGAAAAGAGAAAAATTTCAGATCTCTAATAAAGTTTCACGCTTCCGGGATCCACTGGCAATCAGAATATATATATATATATATATATATATATATATATATATATATATATATATATATATATATATATATATTTAATTTCAATAAAGGTGCAATTAATTTACAAATCCATGAATTATTCACACAAAAAACAAATACAAATGTTAATGATTTAATTGGCGAGAAATCCATCATCGCGAACACTTCAAATAATATACAAAAACCCCGAACTTGTTTATGCATGAAAAGATCCTTGTTTATAAATTTCAGTTGCATAAGTTCTTATCATTTTTACAAGCTTTCGTCTGATCCTACAGACATCCTCAGGTATGGAATATATTTTGTTCTTGTTTTACTCTCAGTAATAAGAGGACAACGAAAACAGAAGTATTGTAATCCGAAAAATTCTATGAGAAATGTGTTATTGTTTTGGAGCGTGCAGTCACAATAATAATAAGAACTTATAAGAACTGCTAGGAAAAAGATTATTACTCGAATATATAAACCGCCCCTACCTATAGAACAAACGTCATGAGCTAATGATAGCTTGCACCCATAAAAAAAAAGTTCACAACTAAAGCATTTTGATTCTGGATAAATCTTTTTACCCAACCTCAACTGACCATTAAATGCTTTAGGTTAAATACTTATTGACTTGAATCATTTCAGCGTCTCTTAACACGTCACGGGTTACACGGCGCTTCTCTTTTCTTTATTTTTTCTCAACTTTTACCTTCTCTCTCTATCTACATTATTTTTTTTTTTTTTTTTATTTTATATCCTAATATTATTAAACATTAGCTTTATATACAGTACAGTTTTACTCCCTTGAGACAGGGATTATTTATAAACAATATATAATCCACTGCGCCTAGCCACTGCTTTTTATTCATATTGTTTGCTCCTTACGTTTTATAATTTTAAATCTTAATTTTCCCTCAAAGGAAAAACATGTGCCCTATAAACTTTAAGCTGGCATCATTTTTCCCAATGCCCCCTCCATTATTTTTCTGCCTGTTTAAGTCTTTCTATCCATCTAAAACTGGTGACTATCTATCTATCTATCTATGTATCTATCTATCTATCTATCTATCTATCTATCTATCTATCTACGATAAATATCTAAGAAAACATTAAGATATCTATATCAGTGCATATCTATCTATCTATCTATCTATCTATCTATCTATCTATCTATCTATCTCTGTTCATATCTATGTCTGTTCATATCTATCTATCTATCTATCTATCTACTAATCCTTTTCTGTCAATGAATATCTGAATCATAAATTCTGACCCTATTTTATACTTTAAGTATTACAACCTTCGATATTTTCTTATCCATAAATATCACTCATTGTATTATCTATATACTATCTATCTATCTATCGATCGATGTATCTGTTTACTATATGTAAATATTTCTGTCTTTTAAGTCTCTACCTATATATATAATTTCTATCTATCTATCGATCGATGTATCTGTTTACTATATGTAAATATTTCTGTCTTTTAAGTCTCTACCTATATATATACTATCTATCTATCTATCGATCGATGTATCTGTTTACTATATGTAAATATTTCTGTCTTTTAAGTCTCTACCTATATATATACTATCTATCTATCTATCGATCGATGTATCTGTTTACTATATGTAAATATTTCTGTCTTTTAAGTCTCTACCTATATATATACTATCTATCTATCTATCGATCGATGTATCTGTTTACTATATGTAAATATTTCTGTCTTTTAAGTCTCTACCTATATATATACTATCTATCTATCTATCGATGTATCTGTTTACTATATGTAAATATTTCTGTTTTTAAGTCTATACCTATATATATACTATCTATCTATCTATCGTCGATGTTCTGTTTACTATATGTAAATATTTCTGTCTTTTAAGTCTCTACCTATATATATACTATCTATCTATCTATCGATCGATGTATCTGTTTACTATATGTAAATATTTCTGTCTTTTAAGTCTCTACCTATATATATACTATCTATCTATCTATCGATCGATGTATCTGTTTACTATATGTAAATATTTCTGTCTTTTAAGTCTCTACCTATATATATATATATATATATATATATATATATATATATATATATATATATATATATATATATATATATATAAGTATGTCTTATTAAATAAATTACAGACACTATGTCTGCCAATTTTCATAAAAATCCATTCATACTCAAGAATAACATTCCTTATAGCTATAACTGTTATAGCACATTTTTCACATCATTTAATATAAATTAATATTCGTGAGTATTAATGGATTTTCTTAAAAATAATATCTGTAATTTATTTAATCAGACATGCTAAAAGAGTATTTGCTGCCTCAATACATGCTAAATACAAATATATGTATAGATAGATAAATAGATAAATATTTTTTCTCTTTGTTTAAGTCTTTTTCCTATCTAACTATTCTCTGCATCTGACCGATTCCTCTTTTCTACACACACATATGTACCCTCTCTCACACAAACACACACACACATATATATATATATATATATATATATATATATATATATGTATGTGTGTGTGTGTGTGTATATGTGTGTATATATATATATATATATATATATATATATATATATATATATATATATATATATGCCTTTTTTGTAAAGGATAAATGCTTACCCCAAACTCGATGCATGTTTTGTGAAATCTGTTTTAGGGCCAAGTAATAACCTTCTCATTCTAGTCTGCCGCTTCCAAATCGTCTTAGAATCCAAGAAAATCTCTGAGTGTCACGTGGTATAAGTATAAGGCAATCTACTAGTGAATCATTCCTCTTTACTCTCCAAATGCTACCGAGACTTCACATTCAATTACAGCATTTTCCTGATACCCAGCTTTTCCAAATGGCTGCCTCTATTTCTGCCATATCGCCTTAAGTTTATGCTACCAGCCATTCATTCATTCATTTAGCACAAGTCGATAGTGGATCTCTCGTGGGGAAATTAAGAATCGCACGCCAAAAGAAACAGCGGCTCTTCATTCTCTACGTTTTATGTCTCTGGAAATGTCTTCTATTTTGATTTCTTTTTCAACATTTTTTTTTTTTGTCTTCTTACATTCGCATACTCGAAATGTTTCTTTCAATCTCCTTACATTCAATACTTTCTACTTCCTCGTTATAAATGGTGCATTTTTTTTTATTTGTCAGATTCTCTTTATTCTTCTGTTTCTGAAGCAGTCTCATCGACTTCGACATTCTCTTCTCGTTTTCATATTCGCCGTCATTCAACTCTTCAATGTCGTGTTCTACGACAAGCATGATATATTTGTCAACCATCTTTTTTTCTTTCCCGAATTGACTTCCGTCTGTATTTTTCTCTGTCCTTATTTTACTATGTGTTTTTCTGCATTTTTTCTTCTTCCAGGGATTGTTTCCTAAATTCTCTTTCTCTAATATTTGTATTTTTCTCTTGATTTCTCTTCTTCATCGTCGGTGTCGTGATGATTTTTTTTAGCTTCGTAACTACCGTTCAATTAACTATCGGGCTTACGGCCTTATCACGTTGAAACACGGCTTCCCGTATATCATTGAAGTTAAGCAGTGCCGAACCTGGTCAGTACCTAGATGGGTGACCGCTTGGGAATATTCAGTGCTGTAAGCTTGGAAGTGATGGAATGGATAATGGCTGGTAATTCTTAATCGGAGAGCCGAGTTCCGTTTTACGCAAATACCCTTGAGAAACGTATGAACCCACTTCTTCTCCCCAGGTATGGATTAATTAGTAATATTTTTATCATTAAATATTTATCTAAAAAAAATCTCAAAATATTTCCTGGCTTTAAATAAACACCAAATGTTTGATAAACCGTAGAAAACGAATCACGACAAATAAATTCCTTCTCTGATTGAGCCACAGCCGTTAACTTTTATATGTTGTTTTTTCTTCTATATCTAGCTTATTTTTCTTCTCCTCTCATTCTATATAGCATAGATTTTATTTCAGAATCTTTTCTTTCAAACTTCTCCCATATTCAGTTTTTCTTCGACGTATTTCTTTTTCTTCTCCTGAGATCGAATCGTCTTCATTTCCTTTGTATTCCGGTAATAAGAAGGAAGTTATATTGTTCCAAAGAGGCGCTGCCCTATGGAACATACTTCTGAAAGGATACTTACCCCATCACTATTCCAGTCTAAGGTCAATCTTCATCTATCCTTTCAATCATCTTAGCTCCTCTTCTTATATCTATAAAATAAGTTCATACACTAACCCTCTATTTTCAAAAGCTGGGTATTTGATGAAAAATTGTGTCCAAAAAAATTGACATTCATTATAAACACTATCGTTGTTGTACAAGGGACATTAATTCTTCTTCTTCTTTCTTCTTCTTCTTCTTCTTCTTCTTCTTCTTATTATTATTATTATTATTATTATTATTATTATTATTATTATTATTTCATTTGATTTCTGTTGTATTCACGATTTCTTTGCGGGCCCTAACCACAGAACAAATACCTTCATTACATTTTTCAGTGCTCGTTTTGTCAAAAGAAAATATAACTAGGATCAGCCATATTATTATTAATATTATTATCAGTATTATTATTAATAATAAAATTATTATTGTTATTATTATTGGCTTTCCTTTGATTTCTGGTGTGTAGACATTTTTTTTCGGATTCCGCCCAGAGGTTGGGAATGACATCATTACATTTTACACTTACAAATATATATATATATATATATATATATATATAAAATACCCAAAACTCCAACAAACTTCAAATTAAATTCTTCGTAGATTTTTTAGACTTTTAGATTTATATCAAACTTTAACCCCCAAATATACCCTTTAAAGGAATGCGAAATAACAGTGTCTAAGAATTTGAGTGAATCCTGCTCTCAGGGACATGATTTATTATTTTATTGTTAACTGTATCTTCCCCCTTTAAGTCGGTCTTCTCCCTCACCCGTTACCCATCAATATCTAGATAGCATAAGTTAAGTTAAGCGGCGTCTAGCCTACGCAGAGTGGGGTTAAGGATAAGGAATTGAAAATGGTACATCTAACTCACTCATATCTTCTCTCCCACCTCACTTCCTCACTTCGTTAATTTTACGTATACTTGGTGTGGTCCGTCAAAAATGTGTAAGTTTCTTTTCAGTTATCATTTCAACCTTTGGAAATAAAGTCTGATGGTCTCCAGGGCTCTTTAAAAAGGTTGTGCTGAAATAACTTATTACATGGAACCTTAAAGTGGTCTGTTTTTATTCAAACATATTTGCTCTGAATTGACATTGAGTTCTCTGGATATCATCCAACTTGGGTCTACCCATATGGATTACCTTGTTTTGCATATATATATATATATATATATATATATATATATATATATATATATATATATATATATATATATATATATATATATATATATATATATATATATATATATAGATATATAATTTTCGTGAGGTGTGAGCTGATGTTGATGTTCCCACCTGCATATTTTTGAGATTTCGATTTCAATGTCTTTGTATTTTGATAGCTTTTTTGAAGATCTTCAAAGATACATTGCAATCCGCAGGGACTGTCATATCAATAAGGAGGCACTTTTGTTTTGTTTGCGGTCTCTAATAACAATGTCTGGACGGTTAGCTCTGATTGTTTCCGTCTGTGTGCATTGCGTATTATTATTATTATTATTATTATTATTATTATTAGGATGTATGGGTGGTGTAAGGGATAGAGGCTAGAGTTCGAATTCCAGTCGTGTTCACTACATTTACCTACGTGTAAATAACTTTAGGAAAGGTATAAATGCATATGTTCTCCTAGATATGAGTTAACTGCTAGTATTTATGCCTGGAAAAATCGTTGTTATTTTCATGACAAATATTATCTGGTAAGGAGATTAATTATTCTTACAATGCAAACTATATTTCCTCTCTAAATAACTCACAAAGTGTTGATAAGCCGTTAAAAATACATATGAAACAATGAATCTTCTTCATATTCTAATCCTTCAAGTTCTTGAATATTTGAAATTACTTATCTTTTTCATCCAAATATTTTTGTCTCAGTAGACATGAGTTTGAAATATAAAACCTAAGACCACTCAGATTTTGCATAAATAAAGCCCTTCGTAAGGTGTGAGCTGTAATTTTGAGTACAATTTTTGGTATTTCTTTAAGGCTTGGTCTACAAGGGATACTACAATGACTCTGTTGAAACTATTTCCAATCAAACCGAGCACTCCGTCTACAACAGGAATTACTGATGTCTTCATGTGTCACATCTTTTAGATTTCCACTTCAAGATGCTTGCATCTTGAGAGTTTTTATTAATATCTTTAGATATGCATTACAGTCTGTAGAAATTGCCATATCAATTAGAAAGCACATTCCGTTCTTGTGGTCTTTAGTCATCATGTCTGGGCTATTAGCTTTCATTGTTCTCTTTGTGTATATTGTAATGTTTCATAATATTGTTACATGTCCTATGCTTCTATTCGTGTCTGCGTGTTTTTTCATACCAGTTTCTAGCAGTTTCCTTCCTGTAAAAGTTGCAGATTTTCCAAAGCACATATTGGCCCACTCTGCCATGCCGAGTTTATATTCAAGGCGTGCTATCATTGTGCAACCTGATACAAGATGGTCAATTTTACCGGAATATTTGTTTCGGAATGTGCATTTCGGATTATCACAATTATTATTATTATTATTATTATTATTATTATTATTATTATTATTATTATTCCCTTTGATTTCTGTTGTATACACACTTCCTTCCGGGTTAGCACAAGCTATCTAAGCTCAGATAGCTCGGATAGCAAATATCTCTTCAAGGAATCTATCGGACTCTTTTACAATCAACCCGAGGGCTCGAACTACAACTGGGATTATTGATGTCCTCATGTGCCATATTTTTAAGATTTTCACTTTAAGACACTTGAAGTTTGATAGTGTTTTGAATATCTTCAAAGATACTGTGGAAAAATAATTGAAAATGTCTGAGTGTGTGTAGATTGTGGTCAGACGTTGAAGGCGAGGTGTTTCCCATGATGGTTTTCCAAAGCGAGGCTGCTCCGAGTTTTGTTTTTTCTAATCGTTTTACCGGAAGGAGTGTGATACGCAGGTCTGCCAACTTGTTACTTAAGACCTGCCTTCCGTCTCTTCTCCACGTTTCCTTTTTGAGAGGCACTTTCGCGATCTCACTTCTAGAGAGCTCGCGAAAGTGCATAGTTAACTGACATAGTTAACTGACCCCTGTTTGGATGTGGGTCACGGGTTTCGCAACATTTAATGTATCGGACTGGCTTCTAGCTACCCTTAGAGTCGAAGGAATTTTCGACGATAGAGAAGAGACTTCCATGCCAATAAGAAATCTCATTCTGTTTTTGTGCTCTTTCCTTACGATGCCTGGGCGATTAGCTTTGATTGTTCTGTCCGTGAGTACTTTAAAGTTATTATTATTATTAGTGGTAGTATTGCTATTATTATATAAGATGATATTATTATTATTATTTCATAGTGACATTGAATATTTGAAGCATATTTCAAGCGAGAAATTGGAAAGCCGTGTTCGAAAGCCACTCAAATGCATTGCATTCACTTACATGTTAATACAGTTGGAAAAGGTATGAATACTACTCATCTTCCCCCAGCTATGGATAAATAGCAGGACAAACCGGGTTCTAAAGCTTTGGATGGCAACTGGTCTACCGCAAAAAAATTGGCAGCGTATTGCGGGGAAAAAATCTGCCTCGTCAGAGATGTATCAAAAGATACATGATCGCTTAGATACATAGCACATAACTGACTGACTCTTGTGATGAAGACTTCCCTAATTAATTGATTCCTTTCTGTAATAAGATTTCTTAGAATTTTTCATCGGTTCTTGCCTATATATATATATATATATATATATATATATATATATATATATATATATATATATATATATATATATATATGTGTGTGTGTGTGTGTGTGTGTGTGTGTTTTGTATAATGTTAAGTAGACAGTTTTGTATATATAAAATTTAAGTAATATTTGATTAAAATATTCGGCAAGCATTGTCAAATATGTTACATGTCTTTCACATGTACGAATAAATATATTGCCTATATGTTTCGATTAGATTTCCAGCTATTAGCAAGATTGTTTTGATTTTTTTTAATAATTAAAACGACTACCGTAAAGACGTTAGTCGTTTAGCTGTCGGAACATCAACACAGCTGAGACGGCGTATGTGCGAAGTACTTCGCAAGCCGAAACTATATATATATATATATATATATATATATATATATATAAGTATAAAAGTGAACATAGAAGTCAACACTTAGAGGCGACAGTCTGTTTCATGCTATATGCAATCGTCAGGCCACATATGCTGTTATTTTCTCGGATATTTATATATATACGGGTTAGTGGTGCATTGTGGGTATTCTATTATATGGTTATTTTTACCGGAAGTCGTTTGTTTATTTATTTGGGTCAAATTATATTGCTCGTTTTTATTTTTTTGTTTCTTATTTTATTTATTTATTTATTTATTTATTTATTAACGTAGTAAAAATTTGTTTATATCACTTATTTAACAGTTTTGTTTTGGTTTGAGAATTTAATTAAAGCTATTTGTTCAATTTTGGGGTT